TTTAATTTACACTGTTTAAAAATGAACAATGATGTAAAATATAAATAAATATATAGTCAAGTTTTGATCTGCCTTTCCTGTGGGATCTCTCAGGTTAATCATACTCTGGGGTGTCTTTATAGCTGGGACCCAGCTGCTGCCTGAAGCCAGGATGCAGGGCTTCACCTGCCCACAGCCCCAGCCAGGCCCTCACCTGCAGTGGCTGCTGAGACCACATGAGCTCCAGGTGGAAGCTCCCGCCCCCATGCTAAGGTTACAGAACAAAAACTCGGACCTAAATCTGCTCAAGTCTCTAAATCCAACTACCCGTTTTACTGGCTGTGAAGGGAGAGTGGAAAATGTTAAACAACCACAGGATAAATGAGGAATTCTCAGACTCTGGAAAACTTGACAGATGAGTCTGCTGCTTCCAGAAGAACTACAGTGCATGACTTTTTCAGATCCGGATTCGGGGTGTGTGTGGGGGGTGTGGGGGTGTGGGTGTGGGTGTGGGTGTGTGTACATGAATGCTGACAGGATATTGAATAACATTAAGGAATTCAAACAGTTTTTGAGGTTTGATATTGGTATTGTTAGGTTAAGTCATCCTTTTTGAAGAAAAATAATATTTTCAAATTAAACTATATGCCATTTGGGATTTACTTCAAAACGTCTTGGCGGCGGTGGGGCGGAGGTGGAGGGATTATAAAAGAAACCAGATCAGCCATGAATGGAGAGCTGTGAGGCGTTTCATGCTCTGACATCTTTCTCTGAGTATGGTTTGTGTTTACCTAAGTAGATTTTTTAAAGAAAATTTAGTAATCCAGGCTTTCTCAACTATTAGGTGATTCCTGTAAAGTGAATACAATAAACTCATTACCGTTTCTAAGATTTTGATTACAAGACTAAATTATACATGTTGAAACCATGTACCTTAAATAGTATAAAATACCAAAAGTGCATTGAACACTAATCATTAACTAGGGATTTGCTTCTCTACATTTCTGTACTTAATTTGGGGGGTTAAGAGATGCTAAGCTGCCCAGGACACAGCTCTGTGATCCTGCACAACTCTGGCAGCGCCTTCCTAAGGAGGCTTGGAGGTGACCTTCTCGTCTGACTGTGGGTTCCTAATGACCTACGAGACCCTCGAAGATGCCAACTTGAACAAAACACGCGGGCATCCCCAGCTCCTTGGGGCTGCTATGACGGTGCCCTTCAGTGAGATCTTCTGGCAGCTGGGACTGTGGGTCAAGCCCTGTCTGGACCTAGTTTTTCTATTCCTGGAAGTTTATAATTTCTACTAAAGGACTAGGGAATGGCGTTCACCACCTCACTTGGTTTTGCATTTCTTTACCTTTTAAAAGATACATAAATGGCTTCCAGGTTAACTCCAGAGACCTTGCAACTTGAGAGAACTTTCTCTCCTTGGCCTCTGCCTGACTCTGCAAAGCAAGCCCATCTAATGCAATGCAATCACTGCAGGTGCCCTGAGAGCTGCAGGAGGCTGACCATGAATTGCAGCTCATTAGTGAGCCCTGGGCCCTGTGGAGGGTCACAGCCAGCATTTAAAAATAGCATGGAGGGCCTCCCTGGGGCACAGGCGGTTAAGCACCGCACTATGAAGCAATCGCAGCCTCTGCAGCACGAGTTCGATCCCTTGCCAGCCAAGGAGCAACCCACATGGTGTAGCAGACCTTTCCTGTTTCCCCGCTGCTCCCCTCAGCAGTGTATTTCAGTAGATCTGCCTGTTCTGCTCCCCACTCTGTCTCTGGTGAATCTTCTCACCCCCTGCATCTCTGGCCTGTACCCCAGCTCTTGTATGCATAAGTAAATAAATTTAAAAAATAAATAAATAAAAATAGCATGGAACTGAGTGGAAAGTATCTAAAGGCATTGCAGAGTTTAAGGATAAATATTATTTTTTGAAACTTTGGTCTCATTTTTATCTATTTAGATGCAAATGAATTTCTTACTGTGACTCAACATCAAAAAATTTTGCAAATTGTCACTTTAGCGTCAAATAGGGATAATAGCATGATAGACAATAGCAAGCATTAATCATAAACTGATAGGCAGGAACAAAACACTAAAAAAAATCCTTGATTAAAGCAAACATAAGAGGGCCTCCCTGGTGGCTCAGGGGTTTGAGTCTCAACACTGTGAAGCTATCAGCAGCCTCTGCAGCACAAGTTTGATCCCCAGCCAGGGAGCTGACCCACAGGGCACAGCAGACCTCTCCCGTCTCCCCTCAGCAGTGTATTTCAGTGGATCTGCCTGTTCTGCTCCCCACTCTGTCTCAAGTGAATCCTCTCATCCCCCTCACCTCTGGCCTGTACCCCAGTTCTTGTATGCATAAAAAAATAAAAATCTTAAAAAAAAAGAAAGAAAAACATCTAAACCTATCAGTGAAAACCAGAAACCAGCTGTCGTGTCTTCTCTCTCTGTTGAATTCCGCTGACTTACACTATTTGTAGGGGCAACCATCCCAGACCAGGCCAGTCTCATTATTGATTCGGGCAGATAGAAAAGAATCTTGGGGCCCTCGGTAGATTTGACGGGCCTTTAATGCTGACGCAGGGGACTAGGTACACAGGCAGACCAGAGGCAGGGAGGTGGGGAGGTGGCAGCAACCAAGCCTCTCAGTCCCTGTGGGTTCTGCTTGATTTCTCTCTGGCTTCTCTCTTTCTCTCTCCCTAGTCTCTCGTAATGATCAGCTCACTCTCACCTGGTATCTGTATTACAGGTGTGCGTGCCCTGTGCTCTCTGGCTTCTTGGCTGGAGTGTCCATATCATAGGTGCGCACACCCCATGCTCACGCTCCCGAGCGTTTTTTGCAATAACATCATGTTACCACGTGTGGGCAATGAAACCTGGGAGGCAAGCGAAGCCGCAGGTGTTGGGCATGGAGACTAGTGGTGGGGGTTGGGGAGGTGGGGCCACTAAAGAGCCTGAGCTACTCCAGTTCCTTACACCAGCTGTCAAGAATAATTACATTTTTGGCGCAAGGGGTTGTCACAGCACTATGAAGCTATCGGCAGCCTCTGCAGCATGAGTTCGATCCCCAGCCAGGGAGCTACCCACATGGCACAGCAGACCTCTCCTGACTCACCCGCTGCTCCCTTCAGCAGTGTATTTCAGTCAATCTGCCTGTTCTGCTCCCCACTCTGTCTCTGGTGAATCCTCTCCCCCTACCCCATACTTCTGTCCTATACTCCAGTTCTAGTATGCGTAAATAAATAACTCTTTAAAAAAAAAGAATAATTACATTTTTACAGTTTCTTTTTCTCCTTCTCCACAAACACTAATTTATAACCAGGTGTATAAACAACGAAAACTTGTGATTGTCAGAATAATTCTCGGAGTGAAATCTATGGGATTGCTTCCTGGGTTCAAATCTCCATTTTGATTCTCTAATAAACTCTTGGTCTAAGGACCGCTGAGGCTTTTATTTCAGTTAAGGTTGCTCCCTTGTTCTGTGCTTCTTGAGCATCACTTCTCCCTTTTGGTAAATGTGAACACGATTAATTACAACACCTGTTTCAGAGGGCCTGGGGGAGGAGCCTGGAGCCTGGGGATCTATAGTCTCAGCTTCCCCAGCTCCAAACCTGCCAGCCACTGCAGATCAGTATGTAAGAGCACTGACCTATCCTTTCCTCCCATTTTTCTTGTCCAGGTCACACATGTAGTTAAAGTTAGAACCAGAGCTAGAACTTGGGAAACACTCCTTCTGGGACAGCTTTATCCACACCTTCACCAGCATCTCGTGCTGACCACTTCTCACCAAACACATTGCATCACTTTCTAGTGGGTGTCCTGTCTGCTTCCTTCCTGTCCCATCTCATATCTCAGCTGCCCACAGATTTTTTTGTTGTTGTTGTTTTTGTTTTTTAATCACCCATCTTTTCATTTTCCTGTGTTGTACGTTAGGCTTTCTCTACTGCTGGTAGCATGAAGATCAGATGCTCTGGCGCATCATCCAGGCTGTGCCTTAGCGTGCCCCGGCCTGTCTCCTTAATCTTTTCGGTCTCCTACCTCTCTCCTTTATCCACCTTCATCTGCAGCCGCTACCCAGACCACTTGGCATGTCCCAGGCACCCCAGCTTCCCTCACTCTGATCTTTTTTCATATAGTGTCCTCCAGTTGAAACAGACTGTGTTTTCCCCCAAATTGTATCCACCCTGTGAGGCCAACTTCAGGAATCACTCTGTAGCCCTGACTTGGAGTTATTCCTGCTTTACTGTTCTTTGCTCCTGTCCTGTTTACAGCCTCTGCCTGGTGACCCTGGATTTGCTTGAGTGGTCTGCTTTTGTCTTTCTGATGAAGAAGTGCCAATTCTCTCTACCACCGCAGTGCCTTTGCAGCTGCTACTAAATGACCTATCTGTTAAATCAGTCTTTCTATGAGTTATGATTACACCAGCGTTACTATTAGTTGGCAACTTTGCCAGCTCATGGCAAAAAAATAAATAGTGCTGCAAGGCTTATGTGCTTGTGTCTCACTGAAAAGGAGGTGGGCAGATAAACAAAAGAGTAGTGATCTTAAAGGGAGAGGACTAGTAATTGGATCCTGAATAATTGCTATTTTGAAGAGATTGGCAGGGAAGAGATAGTAGTTAAAGAAATGAATATGGTTAAAGAAAAACAGAAGCCCGTCCCTGCTCTGTGCATGTTACAAAACCCTGCAGCTCTGCCTTTTAAAAAGCCCTTCATAATTCTGTTTCAGTTCAATTCCGTTCTCCATCTGTTAGACCAAATAATATTTGGGCCAGACCCAAATAGCAAATCCTCCTCCCAGATTAGAGGTTGGAGCAGAAAGCCAAGCCTAACAGTGCGCTCGACCCAAACGCTTTGATTTTGCTGACGTGGGCGCCTGTGAAATAACTTTCACGTGGTAGCATCAGGGTGCTTTTGAAGGTGAAGTCATTATTGGATGTAATTTTGGTTTCTGGGGCAGAAACCTAATTTCAAAAAAGAAAACCCTCCAATGGAAATAATGATTGTCTGTCTTTGCTCTTCCAGGTTCCTCGCGCTGACCCCCTGGAGAGTGTATCACATGATTTCCGTCCTGCTACTTGGGCGTGTTATTATGCAAATTATACGGGAGATGGTTTTGTCAAGAACCAGAGGTAAGAACACTCAGAATTCATGTTTATGGTATTTAGTTTTCTAGAGCCAGGAGGTCTGAGCTCTGAACCAAGTAGTCCTTTGAAAAGGAGCAAGATAGCAGATTACATTGGCATCCACTTTGCTGTTTTTAATGATGATGAAATATTTCTTCTTTACATATCTAGTTAATATTTATTATTTACTTAACTGATGTTTAGTCATAACTACTGCTCTGGAGCAGGACGTTTGTCTGTCTTTTGGCGCAGTGCTATTATTTTCAACACCATTTTGTTTAAGTAAACTGCAGTGAGGATTAACAGTAAGAGTTAAATATTTCTCACAGCCCCACACGATGAAACTGGGCCACTGGAAAACTGACTAGTTTATATAAAATTTTTCTCTGCCTCAGTGGAGAAGAACAGTGAATTCAGAGCTTAAAAATAATGAAGCTATGGTGCCTCCCTGGTGGCGCAGAGGTTAAAGACACAGGGCTTTCAAGCTATCACCAGCCACTGTAGCACAAGGTCGATCCCCCACCAGGGAGCTGACCCACTGGGCGCAGCAGACCTCTCCTGTCTCGCCAACTTCTCCCCTCAGCAGTGTATTTCAGTCAGTCTGCCTGTTCTGTTCCCTGCTCTGCCTCTGGTGAATCCTCTCACCCTCCATATCTCTGGCCTTCACCCCAGTTCTTGTATGCATATAAATCTTTAAAAAAAATAATGAAGTCATTGTAAAATAAGTTTTTGAAAGTGTATTTCTAAAAATTAATTAATTTTGAACAGTAATTTTAAAAAGGAGAACATGAATCATTAGAACATTTTGTTTAAGATGTTTTCTGAGTAATTTTACTGTATTTGGATCTGGGTCCATGTTTTCCTTACTGAGAAGGCCTCTTATTTACAGCCAGTTTTTGTAACTGGACAAAAATTCCTCCTTGGAATGGTTGAGCCCTGTGAACCTAAATGTGATAAGATTCATTTGATCAAAACTAGCTAAGAGCAGCCTATAACGAGGCATCTGACTTCATTACCTGTAACCATACCTCGAGGAATAATTTCCATCAGAGCCCATGTGGGTCAGCGCCCAGAGATCCCCCCGGGCAGTGGGGAGGTCTGCCAGACCTGGGAGGCCCCCTTCTCTGTCACGCCGACTCTGAGACCTGGGATATCGGCCATTGTGGATTCCCTCTCACGGTGCTGTCGGGTGTGCTGGTAAGCGGGTCTTTACCGGCCTTAAACTCAATCACATGTCAGCCATTTTTAGGAGTGTTTTCCATCAGTGTGTTTCAAGGATCACAGGTAGTTCCTTCATTCTGGTGTAATTTGAAGATGAACACCTTCCTTTTTGGCTTCTGCTCAAGAGGGGCTCTCTGCCTGGGCCCTGTGGGGTGGGCATTGCTCACAGGCCAGTCTGTCCATCAGGGTTGCGCCGGGTGATGTCACTGACAACAGCAGTATATTCAGCATTTCTCCTGCACAAACACAAAGAGTAAATGGGAGTCGTGGCTGAGCTTCCCCAAGGCTCCCCAGTCAGTGACAGAAGCAGCGCTGGTGCCTACTTTGCCTCCTTCAGGAAAGTCTCTTAGGACAAAGACCCTTTTCAGCCTGGCAAGAGTTGGCAGGAGGCTGGCTTCGCGTCTGTCGGGGGCCTGCTGCCATGAATCGGTCTCTAAGTCAAAGACTCAGCTTCAGGTTGGTCCAGATGCAGTTGCTGTGATGCTTTGGCCAGCACTGCTGCCCATCCTTGGCACCTTGCTCACAGTTACAGCGGAGTGGCTGCCAAGACCCTGGGCTCACAGGGAGTGTCTCTCCACCCAAGCCTCCCTGTGTCTGCAACATTTTTGGCTAATGAGATTACACTTCTGCTGTGAAGAATTTTATCATATCCCTGCCCTCCCCAGTGTTATCTTAACGCCACCTGCCATTGCACTCATCTCTAAAGAGCAGGTGAGTGAAAGTACGAGATGCCTCGTCATGACCTCACTCTGCTACGTCTGGCGCCCACGCCAGTGTTGTGATCTCCAGCCTGGGCCACCTCTGCTGCAACAGGTTCTCACTCACTCCTGGCTGTGTGTTGTTTGAGTGAATCAGCCCCCTTGAGTTCTGGGGGATTTCTCTGTAGTGTGGAAAACTCCCGCAGCCTTAAATTGTTCCTTGACCAGTTTCTTCTCTCTTGTTGCAAAAGAACTGGAGTTTCTGCCCCCGTGCTCTTTCAGATGCTTTCACTGCTGCGCTCCGCAGGCCCCTGCACTGCCCCACGGCCCCTGGGAAGTGCTTCTAACCACTGCCTCTTTATGATTTCCTCCTGCAAAGTCTGCGCTGGCCATTGATGCCATGGTCTGGTTGCCACTGAACTTAGACTGGCAGGAAACCAAAGTCCTTTGTGTGCCGGTCTCTGATTCCTGCGTGCTCTGATGGCTTGTGTGACAATCTGGGTCTGCTCAGCTACCACTGTGGACGCCTCTCTGACCCCAGCTTTGGGAAACATTGTGTCTGCCACCCCTGCGGAGGCTGGATGTCAATTCTTAGCATGCCCTTCTGACCACTTTGCTGCTGTTCAGCCAGCTCTTTACCATCAGTTTAAGTATTTTCCTGTTCAGCCTCTCCCATTGCACTGGCCCTCAACCCTGTGCAGCTCCCCACCTTGGTCTGTGCTCAGTGACTGCAGTTCTGCTCTCAGCCACACTCCATCAACTACACTCATTGTAATTTTATTTTATTTTAAAGATTTATTTATTTATACAAGAACCAGAGTACAGGCCAGATGTGCGGGAGGGTGAGAGGATTCACCAGTGGCAGAGCGGGGAACAGAACAGGCAGACTGACTGAAACACTCTGCTCAGGGGAGAAGTTGGCTAGACAGGAGAGGTCTGCCGCGCCATGTGGGTATCTTGCTGATTGGCCGGAATCGAACCTGCAATGCAGAGGCTGCGGACAGCTTCACAGTGCTGCGCTCAACCACCTGCGCAACCAGGGGAGGCCCTATTCTAGTTTTAAATAACAAAAGGAATCAAACAAGCAAACAGCTCCTAATGACATCTGCTTTCTTGGCCACAGTGTTGTCAGAAATGTCAAAAGGTAAATTGTTGCCTCTAGAATTTAGTCTATCCAACTTTTCAACTTTAGCTGAGACCTTATTAGTACTTATGATTCCTTGAATTTTTTTGAGTTGTATATTTGCTTTGTTTTGATATGCCCATTGAACGCCCAAGTATTTAAGGCAGCTTCTAAAGAACATAAAAAATAAAACTGCTTTAAAGAGGTTTTGCAGAAGAGGGCCTCCCTGGTGGCACAGGTGGTTGAGCACCACACTGTGAAGCTGTCTGCAGCCTCTGCAGCCAGGTTCGATCCCGGCTGGCTGGCGAGGGTCCCACATGGCACGCCAGACCTCTTCTCTCTTGCCTGCTGCTCCCCTCAGCAGTGTATTTTGTCAGTCTGCCTGTTATGTTCCCCACTCTGTCTCTGGTGAATCCTCTCACCCTCCCGCTCATATGGCCTGTACCCTGGTTCTTGTATAAATAAATAAATCTTAAAAAAAAAAAATAAAGAGATCTAGCAGAAGAGAAGTCTAACATGCTGACCTAATTTGAACAAAAGATTTGCCCCTGTGCTTACTGGCAGCCGAGGCAAAAAGGGAAACTAGAGCAATTGTGTAATTCTGATCAATTGTGTAATTCTCCAAAGATATTTGGAGAAACTTTTTTCCTGGGGCTTAATTTTAAGAATTTTCACATAGTTCTGTGATGGGGGAGGCAGAAGAACAAAAGAGACAACATTTTGGGCATTTGTTGGGTGGAAAATGCAGAAACAGCCTCAGAGAAGTTCAGTGTAAGTATTGACTTTGTTCAAGCTGATAGTTGTGAGTATATCAAAACATTGTCCAGTGGGGGGCCTCCCTGGTGGCTCAAGGAGTAAAGACCAAACCTATGAGGCTATCCTCAGCCACTGCAGCATGAGTTCGATCCCCGGCTAGGGAGCTACCCACATGGCGCAGCAGACCTCTCCTGACTCACCCGTTGCTCCTCTCAGCAGTGTAGTTCAGTCAATCTGCCTGTTCTGTTCCCCGCTCTGTCTCTGGTGAATCCTCTCACCCCCACACCTCTGGCCTGTACCCCAGTTCTTGTATGCATAAATAAATCTTTGAAAAAACAAAAACAAAAAACAAACAAACAAAAAAAACATTGTCCCGTGGAGAAAGTCATTGGGGAATAAAAAGAAAATACGATCTGGGTAAATGTTCTTTTCCCCCCTGAACTCTCCTGGATTGCACCCCTTCCCTGGGGTGCACGCTTTTGACGGCACGCTCTCGTCTCACCTGGACAGCAGAGTCCCCAAGGCAGGGCCAGCTGTGATGCAGCATCCTGTCTCCCATGGTCCTTAACCCAAGTTTGCATGCAGCAAAATCTCAATATTTGCAGATGCATTATCTGAATTAGTCACAGTACCAGAGCGATACTATATAATTTCATAGTGTCTAGAGTTTAAAGAGCTAAGCATACGTTTTAAAATACCTCAGAATATCTCTAAGTTGAGAGCTGACTCAGGAGAAAAATGCCTCCCTAATGTTTCCCATTTTGCTTCTTCTCGTTGCAGGGGCGCAGTTGTGGAGGAGTCTCAGCGAGAGGTACGCTCCTTGGAAAATTGTCTTGATGTGGCGGCTGACTGTGGGCAGGGTGTGGGGCGGGGCAGCACCGGCTGCGTTTCTGAAATAGCATTCTGTTGAAGGGACCTACATCCTGTCATCATTTTGCAAGAGTGGAAATGTTGGGAAAATATAATCAAATTAGGGGAAAATAAAATCGGGACTCATCCTCGTAGAGACTTCGCGTCCTGCTGTAATGTTGGGTAACATACTCGAATGAGTGAGTCGCAGTGTGTGAGGAGTGCAGGTGAAGCAGCGAGGCGTTTTCTTTGGGGATTTCCTTTCAGGCTTCTTTTTGGCATGTGAACAGCATGGCTGTCGCGGGAGGGGAGCCCTGGTGGAGCATTCCTGTGGGGTTTTCTGGGCTGGCGTGGAGAGGGCTTTGGCGTGGGGGATGCCAGCAGGAGGGGGAGAAGCCCTTAGGCTTCTGGTCCAGCAGTGAGGCCCAGCTCCCGCCTCCTTGCCCAGCGGGGGACAGAGCATCTCCCTTTTCACTTGCCTGAAGTACAGGTGCTATTTCCCAATGCAAAATTGCTGGGGCAGCTGATGAGGGGAACACACTCCCCTCCTGACTGCACGTGAGCAGTGGGGAGATGACTATGCAGTCACATGCGTTTGTGTAGCTATGTTTTGGGTTTGTTTTTTAATGTTTGGCCTGGACAATATTCTCATAAGTAAGAAAATGTGGGAACTGGAGACAGATCATAGAAAGCATTTAAACTGAAATGCAAAGCGAAAAAAAAGTAGAAGACAACACATGGCATCTGTTGGACAATATCGAATTGTCTCCCATGCACGTCATTGGAGCCAATTTTTTTCAGAATAAAGAATGTCTTTCAGAGACTTAAAGAGAGATAGTTGGGGGTTTTGGCTCCTATCAGAGTAGACAGCGTGAAATAAGGCTTCGGAAATGAGGAGAAAATAATGCCATTAAAAATCCTATGAGAAAAATGTAGCCTGGCCTTGTGTGAAATGTGCCTTCAGAGGCAGCATTCATAGAGAATTCCAGTTTCAGGTGGAAAGGCTAATTTTATGAATAGTTTACAACTCTAATATTACTTTGGGGCCCCAAATTTATTGGGTAGATGTGAAATTGCCGTGAAACTCATTGACAGAGGGAGACACTGGATAAAAGAAGCAAAATCTGGTCCCAGTGCCTGGGGTGGGGGTGCTGGGGGGTGGAACCTTGTTCATGAGGGAGTGAGGCCAGGGCAGGGGGTTGGGGGCACAGCTCCGGGAGCCCTTTGTCTCACGGGGCTCTCCGGGGCTGCTGCTCTGGTCTGTGCGGCGTGCAGGCAGCTGAAGGGGTTTCTGTGTTTGTGAATTAATAATACGCACACTTGGCCTCTTCCCTTTTGTGGCCCAGAACTCCTAAACACTCGGTTTCCTGACTGGTGAGCATGGTAAAGGTGTCTTGTGTTAATGAGGTGACTTTGGGAAGCCCTTTGGTAACCAAGACCGGGGGCGGGTTGCCTGGGGACCCAACCGTGGGATTAGACGGTTGTAATGTTCAGTCCCGCCCAGGACTGACCCGAAGGGGAGAGCGCTGGAGAGTGGGTTCAGTCACGGCTGCCCCATCACTTGATGCCTTGTGCCCCTGTAAGGAAGCGGGCGGTCTAGCTTCTGGAGCGGTGACCGTGGGGTTTGGGGAGAGTGGGCGCCTGGAGCGGGCAGGGAAGCTGGTGACCCCGTGCTGGCCCTGCCGGTGCGTCTCTCCCATCTAGCTGCTCCCAAGCTGCAGCCTTTCACAATCAACTGGCGATCGGGTTGGCTTCTCTCAGTTCTGTGAGCTGCTCTGCCAAATGAATCACCAAGGAGGTGATGGTGGGAGCCTGACCTTCAGCTGGTTGATCAGAAGCGAAGGTGACAACCTGGACGTTCACGGGCACCTGGGGTGATGGTCTTGTAGGATCGAGCCCTCCCCTGTGAAATCCGGTGCTCCCTCTAGGTAGATAGTGTCAGAATTGAGTTGAATTGTAGAACCTGTTGTGCAGGATCTGCTCGGCTGTGGAGGAAAAAAATGAGAAGGCCTTAGAAGCAGAGAGAGGTATTCTTTGCCCCCATGAGCCATGAGGGTGTAGAGCTGGTGCCAAGCACCATCGGCGGTAGTTATAGGGGACCCGGAGATCCCCAGCTTCGTCAGTGGGGCCTGGATTCCCGCTTTGTGGTGTTGCTCCCTAGTTTGTGCTCAGTCTCTGCAGGAACCGGTCTCTTCAGGGGCTTTCACTGCACACCTAGGATTATGGACACCTGGACCAGAACAGCACGGAGCATGCGCATATGTAAAGGCAGACACCTGGGCCTAGAAGTTAGGGGTGAAAGGGTCTCCTCAGCTTGGGCATGGATGACAGTGGCTTCACTCTCAGGCAGGGGGACCCAGTGGTCGCCTCCCTGCCTGCTGGTCTGCCTGTGTCTGGTCCCCTGATTCAGCGTTAAAGGCATGATAGAGATACCGAAGGCTCCAAAATTCTCTCTTCATCTGCACGAATCAACAATGAACCTACCAGGCCTGGGCTGGTTGCACAACAGTAGGCTAAGCCAAGCTTAAAGTATTTCCTTCAAAAGTTAGCATGAGATGGGGCCTCCCTGGTAGTGCAAGGGGTTAAGCTTCAGCACTATGAAGCTATCCGCAACCACTGCAGCATGAGTTCGATCCCCAGTCAGGGAGCTACCCACATGGTGCAGCAGACCTCTCCTGCCTCCCCGCTGCTCCCCTCAGCAGTGTATTTTAGGAGATCCACCTGTTCTGCTCCCCACTCTGTCCCTGGTGAATCCTCTCACTTCCCACACCTCTGGCCTGTACCCCAGTTCTTATGTGCATAAGTAAATAAATCTTAAAAAAGAAAGTTAGCATGAAGAGCAGGCGGTTCACTTGTATTTATGCAGGTGGTTAGAGTGTTTCATGTACCCGGACATACGGTAGTTCTAGAGGTCATGGGGGTTACACTTAACTAGCACATACCAGGAAGCCAAAGCTAAGTCCACTGTTGTCAACACAACACAAATGGGATGATTTTCATCAGCTGCCACTCACATAACGTCGTACCTGGAAACCTCATTTTGTGAAAATGTGATTCTTGGTGGGTAGATTCTAAGAAGGGCTTGATCTTGACCTATTTCTTTAATAAACAGTAAGCACCAGGTTTGCAGTCCAACCAGATTTCATACAGACCAGTGTGCCAACCGACCCAAATTAGCATCTTTTATGACTCATTCCCAGGATCGAAATGAAACCTGATCCTTGGGTACATACAGGCTTTTATTTCTGCACGTGGCCGTGGCAGCTGATCAAATAAAATCCTCTCTTAACAAGGGAGAAATTGTGTTACCTTTAGAGAACATAAAATTGTTTTCAGTTTGACCAGGTTTTTCTAAGTCGGTAGAGATGAGAGAGAAATGACACACACATATATATATGTATGTATGTATGTGTGTGTGTATGTGTGTATGTATGTGTATATATATGCTGGTCATTCAAAATGTCTTTTCTGAGTTCTTTAACTTTTGTTTGTGCATTATAACCCAGGTAAAGGAGCGAGTCTCATCAATCTTGCTTTATTCTCAGTGCCAACTTACACGGAAAGACCTTTTTTTCATGGTAATCAAAGATTCTGACAGTTTAGGCTGAGCTGCTGGGATCTTCTAACAGACCTCAGACCCCTGTTCTCTGGCAGGGTGGTCTTCACAGAAAGAAGGAGGCGGCTTGCCAGTGTAGCCCCTCCTGTCACAAGGACGTTGGGCCTCCCTGTCTTACCTTCAGTGAGCTTTTGGGGAGCGCAGCAGAGAATTAAAGTTAGTTGTTCTAGCACCAGCTTGGTCGTGAGCTTTTTGCCTTTAACTCGGTCCAGTTGCAGGAAATCTCTCCATCTTGTGTTCTCCCTTGCTCCTCTCTCTCACCTGCTCTCAGAGAAGCAGCTGCCAGTCAGGCATCCTAGTTGTTATAGTTCTATTTGGTGTGGGGAGGCAAGAATCTGTTTGTAAAACCCAAGTCCTGGGCTGTCCCAGCTCATGTGTCCAGAACAAATTGGAACATTGACGTAAGAGATGTCTAATTAATTAAGTTTTTGAGAATGACATTAAACTTCCAATAAAAGTGAAGTCATTTAGCATTTGCTCATTGTCTCCTCTGAGGAATAGCATTCAGTGTGAAAACTGTCCTCTCTGTTTATGAATCATGTTACAGCTCTATGGACAGGGCGCATCAAATAGTCCCTGGGAGTTTGCTCCCATTGGCCTCCCTGGTGGTGTAGGGGTTAAGTGTCAGCACTATGAAGCTATTGGCAGCCACTGCAGCACGAGTTCGATCCCCGGCCAGGGAGCTACCCACATGGCACAGCAGACCTCTCCTGCCTCCCCGCTGCTCCCCTCAGCAGTGTACTTCAGTAGATCCACCTGTTCTGCTCCCCACTCTGTCTCTGGTAAATCCTCTCACTCCCTGCACCTCTGGCCTGCACCCCAGTTGTTGTATGCATAAATAAAAATAAATCTTTAAAAAAAAGTTTGCTCCCATCTCTGCTGTCAGACTCTGGAGCTGTGCCTGGAATGACTACACTGTACACTTACAACATTTAAAAGTATTTTCTAGGGACCTCCCCGGTGGCGCAGCAGTTGAGCGCTGGGTTGTGAAGCTGCCCGCAGCCTGTGCAGTTTGTGTACAGCGCCGGTTCGATCCCTGGTTGCTCCCCGGCCACCGGAGGAGGGTCCCGCATGGCGCGCAGACCTCTCCTGCCGCCCGCTGCTCCCCTCAGCAGTGTACTTCGGTCCTTCTGCCTGCTCTGCTCCCCGCTCTGGCTCTGGTGAATTCTCTCACCCTCTTGTGCTTCTGACTGTACCCAGTGCTTGTATAAATAAATAAATAAATAATTCTTTAAAAAAAAAAGGTATTTTCTAATATGCCTCAAAGTCTCCCATGTAACTTGCATTTTGTGACCTTCTATATGTACCTTTCTAATAAGGTAGGTTATTTGGAAACTGTATTTTTT